TATCATGGTAGAGCGTGGTCAGAATCCAGAGTTCATTGTGTACGCTGTCTCTGCTGCCCCCCTCCAGTCTGTTTCCTCATATGCCCAGTGTACATCAGGGCTCTTGTGCTACCAGCCTCCTGGGGTATTGCATGTGAGATTTCTCTCTCCCCCTCTCCCCACCCCCTGCCTCTGTGTTTGTATAGTGTGATATAAACATTGCTTACTGATATTATTTCTGATTTCCTGTGTTCTTGACCCCTTAGAGTAAGTAGTCTTAGGGCAGCAGTTCATAATAACTGGTGTTTATTGAGCACTTACTATGTGCAGGAAGTACATTAGTTTTTAACATGAATTATTACACTCATGCCTTGGGTCTTAAAGGATTTGAAAGGCAGGAAAAGGATAGGAACAGTCTCCCCCTGTTCCTTGTTCCTGGGTCTCCCTTCACCACTGAAGACCTTGAGAGGTGGAGGTGGGGGAGAGGCGGAAGGTGCTAGCACTGGACTAAGGGAAGCTGGAGTGATGTTTTAGAACGGGAGAGGGCCGGGGAGGTGTGGAAGGAAAGAGGAAGAAGGGCAGAGTGAGCTGGATGCTTGTGTTTGCCCCGTGGGTCCAGTCCCCACCTTCACCTGCTCGTACTCAGAGGCTGCCCCCCTGCACCAGGTGGGTTCAGGAAACGGGGGGGAACCGGCAGGGAATGAGGGTAGGAGGAGCGAGAGGTTGGGTGCTTATTCCCTGCCCTTCACACAGGTTGGCTGTGACCCCCTGCCGAAGCCTGCATCACCTCTCCAGGTTCCGGTGATGCACCCCCGCCCCCCGCCTTTCCCGGTCTCGGTGTTATAACCACATCCTTGTGTTGCCAGCTCCAGGGCCCTGCACCACCCTTGGCTGGTCTCTTTACACTCTGCGCTCAGCTTTGTAAATTGTCCCTTTTGGAAACTCTCCTCGGTTACCCATTTGGGTATCCTACCTCCCTGGGACCCTGACACGCAGATAGGAGGGTCCTCAGCTCAGAGGGCAGAGCATGGCTGAAGGTCTAAAGTCCCAAGGGGCCCACAGGAGGGGCCACCCCTGCTGCCTCGCTGACCAGTTTTCTGGCCCCCAGCTGAGGCTTCCAGAGTGGGAAGCTCATGTCTCTGGGCTGGAATGCAGGAGGTGGGGAAGGTCATGGGCTTCTCCGTTGCCTTCCAGGTCGCCCCTCTAACCCGTTCTTTGCAGGAAAATCTGTTTGTATTGGGAAGCCCACATTCTGGGCACACGAATTTGGTGCCCAGATGGCGCCTGAACTGACAAAAGCCCAGCACACTGACAGGACCTGCAGACACATGGGTAAATATTTTGCCTTTCTTCTTAGGCAATATTTGAGTCTTTCAAATTTAATTGCTGTCACAGGCAGGATGCTTGCATCCTTGAGGCAAAGCAAATAGTGAGGGCCTCCACCAGGGCTGCTGGGAAGTTCTCCAGCCAGGCTTCCTGGCCGGCTGCCCGCGGCGCCTGTCCGTCAGCTCCTGCTCTTGTCGAGTGTCAGGTGGCCTCTTGCCTCACTGGCTGGGTGGGCTGGGGGTGAGGGAGGCTCAGGGAGCCTGGAACCTGTGGCCACTTGTTGAGTATGTTTTGAGGCTGAGAGAACCTGGTCTTGGCTAGGAAATCAGGTACTTTTCTCAGACATGAGTGACAGGCACCAATCTAGCTCTTACCAGTGGGATCCTGTCTTGTGTCTCCCAAGCGGGGTCCAGGGAGGATTTTGTTTGATCTTGAAATCGCGGAATGTAGGGTGGCTGCTAGTTTGCATGACATCTTTGTGCAAATTAGATAAAGGCAGCCTCTCTGACAGGGACATCTCCCGCATACCCCACCAGGGTGCATGTCTTGGCAAGCAGAGCAGCAGCTGGACTTCAGCACCTAGGTACTCTCGGGAGGTACCCTTACGCAGTGCACAACCTGCTCAACTGTATATGTCCCAGGTAGTTGCCGATGATATTCATGTAAAAACCCTTTCTCCCTTATATCTCCCTCTCTTCTTTCTTTTTCTCTTTATTCCACCCCGAAACCATCGACCTAGTTGTCCCTCGGATTACATTTACAAAGTGCAGTGAGAGGCTATTCCACGTTCATATGTGATCGACAAGCCTCTCCTTACGTTGTCCAGACAGGGAAGAGGTATTTGCTGTAGGATCCCAGAGTTCTGCAACAATCACCTCCTTTTATTCATGACATTCTAATTTGCCTCAATTATCTTAATCCCTTGCATATAATAGAAGCAGTTGGGGTCCTTGCCCACTGTGGTCTTCTAAAGGGCGCCTTATGTTGTTCATTGCTTTCTTCAAAGCACGTGTTCTTGATGCCCGCCCTGTGCTGGTGGCCGGGGAGATAAAGATGAATGAGTAAGACAGGTCCCTGCCCTTGAGAAACTCATCATCCAGTGGGGGAGCGAGGCGTGTAAATAGATAAATCACGGGGCATTGGTGTGCTGGCTGCAGTAGCACAAAGAGCTTAGGGAGGGAGAAGGAGGGGATGTTGAATGCCTGCTGCTGTGTGCTGTCCTGGATGCAGGGAGGCTTTGCCGAGGAGCTGGAGGTGTACTAGGTGAAAGACAGGCCGGGAGGAGAGGAGGGACAGAGTCGTGAGCGGACAGGGCATTATCAGGGCAGGGTGGAGGGGGGCGCGCCTGGCTGGAGCCTAGGGTGTGTAGTGGCTGGGGCCCAATGGGGGCTGGGACTTTCTGCCGGGAGTGTTGGGTTTATCCGGTGTGTGAAAGAGACTGCATTTTCTGGAATGCATTTTCCTTCTGGAATGCAGTCTGAGCAGCGGGTGCGGTGCGGAGGGTGGGCTGGTGGAGGAGACTCCCATCAGACAATTCTGAGTTCTAATCCTGGCACGGGCAAGTCACTTCATCTTCTTGAGCCTCCATTTTCCTATTCGTAAAATAGGGGTGATGAGCATCATAGCTCCTACTTAATTGGGTTATAGAAAGGATTAGTAGGACAGTGTTCATAACAGAGTGTCTCGCTGGTGGGACAGGTACAGAAGCCGCGAATAGGTTACGGGTGGCTGAGGTGTGGCTCCTTCAACCCTCCCCGAGGCTGGACCGGACGCAGCAGCCCATCTGCTCATCCCGGCTGCCTTGCACGCATCTTTTCTACATGCGCCAGGGCATGAGTAAAGTTGGAAACGACTGGTCTACAAGGCTCTTGGCAAATCTCTCCTACCTAGTAAGTCCTCAGCAAATGTGGGATCAGTCACTGTTATTTATTTATTTATTTTTTTTCAGTCACTGTTTTTGTGCAACTATGATAGAGGGAGTGGATACAGAGAGGGCAGGCTGGATGCCAGGGACATTTCTGAGACAGAACTGGCAAAATTTGGTGACCAGTTGGATGTCAAGGAGGCGTGGCATGGCTAGAGCTGGGAAAGCCTTGGGGATGACTGTGGGATTTGTGATGTGGCCTGGATGGGAGGTGATGCTGTTGATGGAAATTGCTATGGAAATGAGGTATGAATGTGCGTTGAAGAAGCGGAGACTCTGGCAGACTACTTTTTCTAGAAGTATTACCAGCTTAGGGAAGAAGGAACATAGAGGTGTGGGGGGATGTGGTCTGGGGGAGGGTATGGCATGCGAGAGACTCAGGATGTTTGTAGGCTAAGGGGAAAAAGACAGAGGAGTTGAGAAATTAAAAGAAAAATAGCGCATAGCACTTTCCTTAAACTTTGCCCCTTTGGACAGCATCTGTCCCACTGGAGGAGTGTCTGCCAATAATGGGCAGTGGGCGGTTGTCCAGATATGATTTGCAATAAGGCGCTGTCTAAATTACTGCACTCCACCAATTGCCAGGTTCCCTGCTGACAGTGAGCCAGGAATCAGACGATTCAGTCAGGTGCCACCACTTATAAACTGAAAATCAGTGGGGTGCAAAATGGATTACCATCAAAATCCTTTCAGGTGCAAAACCAAATTTTAAAATGCCTAACCTTTAAAAATGACACCTTTCCTGATTGTTCACAATGCGCTGACGCTGAGTTTTAACGTCCCCCAGATAAGCAAGTGTTGATGGAAGCGTCTGCAGGAGGCCAAGGACTCCTAATCATGCCTTCCTTTTGGAATTTGCAAACATGGCGGATTTATAAATTCATGCTTTGGCAGTTCTGTTAGATTCTCGAAGGTGTCGGTTCTCAAACTAAAGTGTGCAACAGAATCACCTGGAGGGCCTATTAAAATTCAGATTGCAGGCTCTACCTCCGGGTTCTTGATTGAGCAGGTCTGGGGTCAGGCCTGGGAAATGACATTTCTAGAAAGTTCCCAGATGATGCTGATGCTGTGATCCCAGGGCCACACTTGGAGGGCCTCTGCTCTAAAATGTAGGACTATTTTGACAATCTGACTAGCAAAGCATGCATTGATTGATAATGGCTTCTCAGTAAAAGTCCTACTGGACCAGGTGTTGAGTATGTCAGGGGGCTTCAGTTTTGTCCAAGAAATCTGAGAAGAGACTGGTTCAAGGAGATACAGATGGATCTGAGTGCTTTGTGTTCAGAGGTGAGGCTGGGGGGGCAGGGGATGGAGAAAAGGCAAGAGGCCCCCTCTAGCTCAGCATTCCGCAAGACAGCACGTACTACATGATTAAGGCCGAGGCCTGCCCTTTACTGGTCTGTGGGTGCAAACTCTAAACGTCTTTAGATGCCAAACTTCCTCCCTTGATATAAAAGTTGATTTTCCTAAGGTTAAACACACATGGCTACTACTTTCTTAACAAGCTGCTATCAGCCTAAACATTGACTCTTCCCACCTCTGAATGATGCCAGAGGTGTATTTTTCTATCTAAATCCATGGCGTTTGATTTTGTCCTACCCTCTTGCTCTTTTGGAGTCAAGGTTATTGCCTTGTATGTGTAAAATGTAGGTGTCACCAGGCCCGATATGAAACAAGTCCCTTGCCCCAGGACAGAAAAATGGATCCTGGAGACTGCCCCAGACCTGGTTGCTGCCTCATTAACATTTGGTCTCCTGTCTCTCTTTGCCAGGAGAAATTGAGAGATGCACGTACATCAAATACCACTACTCCTCAGCCACCATCCCCAGGAACCTCACCTTCAACATCACGAAGACCATCCGCCAGGATGAGTGGCACGCCCTGCGTAAGTACACCTGAGTTTCTTTCTCTGGCTGTGACCTTTGGAGGGCGCGGAGACTGGATGCCCGTCAGCAGCTCGGTCCGGATGGACAGATGCACCTCCGTGTGAGACCTGTGGACAGTCTCAGAACTTGGCGGCAATCCTTAAAGTGTCGATGTCTGTGGGTCACAGTGGCCTCGGTTGGTTTTGATGGCATTGTAGCTTTTGAGGAGTTTGCTTCTACAATTAAAACAAAAAAACGACCAGCAGTTAGACGGTGATCAGTGGTCTTGCTTCGCCATCCTGGTAGGCATTTAAGATTTCACCTATCTGACCAAACCAACTCCTGGGATTCAAGTCCAGTGTGTCTCCAAGTTGCCTGGGGTGTTACTGTGGCAACCTGCTAATCTCTCTCGTGTTGTCCTCTGTACAGGGTAAGACCTGCTAAGACCCGGTGGTGGTTGCAGGCAGCGTGGCACTGGGAATTTGCATGTCGGAGGGGTCACGAAGGGGGAGGGGCTGGTCCTCAACTTCCAAGTTTCTGTTTCCCCTAGAATGATGGGCTTTGGGACCCATGTTCGCATGTGATTGCTCGGAGAAGATCAGAGTATCTGCCTCCATTGGTTAGGGGAATTCTTGGTCAGGGATTCTCAGAGACTTAAATTATGATGAGAGGGTGACGTCATGAGCGGACACAGTTGGTTGGCTATTTTTACCTTTCTGCTCCATGGGGATCCACCTGCTTGTCTGTGTCAGGAAAGTTCTCCTTCCTCACCAGCATTGTTCTTCACGTGAACACGTTCTTCTTCTTAGTAAGCTCCACGCTGCCTCTGGTGCATCTGTCATTTCTCCCCGATTCTAGCTTTTTTCACATAATGTCACAAGATTAACTTTATGTTTCTATGTGAAGGAGGCTCTTTGTTTCTTGATAACAAGGTTCCTGTAATCGGTAAACTTTGAAGAAGGTCAAAACCATCTTTTTTCTCTTTCTTGTTGCCTCATTGTCTTTTGCATGCATGGGGCCCACCACTTTTTGGTTTGGTTTTAATCAAATCACCATAGCTTGAAGTGGGGGTGGGGTGAGAGACGAGTAAAATTAAACAGAGCAATCGTTCGTTGGTTTCAGGAAAAAGATTCTGACTAGGTGTCTGGATGAGTGTTACCTAATGCCAGTGGCCCAAAATGATGTAGGGCAGGTATGAGCAGATAGGAATGCGTTAACCAGATGGTCCCCCCCCCCCCCCCACTTACAAGCTTTATCGCTGCTGGAGACACGAACCAGAAGCTGGGAACAGGGAGCTAATGTCCAATGGACATCCTCAGGTGCTAGACATTGAGCTAAGCATACCACATACTTATTTAATTTTAATGTGAGATTTGCCTTAGGGACACTAGTAATCAGGGCTATTAATTTCCTTTTTTGGAGGGAGACATGTGAAGAGCCAAGTGTATAAATCCCTGACAGTGACTGCTTATTCGTCAAGTTGCATTGGTCTAGGATAGTCACTTAATAGACACCTACAGTGCATGTTCAAGATACATGACAAGCCTGGTAGAAGAACCACTTAAATATAACTTAAGCAATGCAGTGGAGGGGGAGGGGCGTCGTGGAATCTCAGAAGGAAGACGTTGTCGGTATTTCGGCTTCAATTCAGATTCACTCAGTTCAATCACAGTTACCGAGTGTTTCTGTGTACCGGGCACATGGTGGATACCGAGGCCACAGGGAGCTCTTTCAAAGAGCTCATGTCTGGAGGTGGAGGAGGGTGGGCAGGAGTGGAGAGATACAGTCACAAAGCAAATAATTACAGGGCAATGCCCTGATTACAATATAGTATAACGGTTTCATGCAGTTAAGGTAGTTTGTGAAAGTGTTTCAGCAAGAAGAATTATTCTAGCGTAAATTGCACAGATGCATTTCAAGGGCATCACTGAAAACATGTTACATGGTGTTAGCAAAGGCAGAGAGGAGGCTAATGCTAAGCTTTATGGCCCTTCTCTGAGCCCAGTGTCTCCCGGGTCCTTGTTCTGAAACTGGAGTGCCCTTAGGTTCTGCAAGATCGAGCGTGCAGGCTCTGCTGTGGTGAATGGGGGTGCTGACAGATCTATTTTTAAGTGATAAAAGCCATCTCAGCGACTGATACATGCAGACGTTTTGGGCACCCCGTGTTGGGTGAAGTCGAGGCTCCCCTTTGGTGAGGGATTCATCTGCCTGTTTCACAAAGTGACCTGCTGGTCTGTGAGGCAGGCAGAGAATGTTTGCCGTTCCGAGAGCAGGCGACCGTGGGTCACGCCTGAAGCTGCTGCTGAACGTAATTGGCAATGTTGGCGCAATGGGGAGGTGTAGTAAATGTCAGTTTTAATTTTCAAAGGTCAGATATCGATGACATTAGGTGGGACATGGGCACATAAGCCCCCTTTGAAATTAAGTAGAAACTGTCAAAGATTAGCAAACCCCTATGACCAAGCTTTGGAAATTAAGAAAAAAAAAAAAAACAGACTCTGATTTCTTTACTTATTTGAGAGTCCTGTATTGTTTAATACTGTCAGTGGGATCAAATTCCTTTAATACTAGGTCGGTTATCGTTTTATAATTTCGTCATAATACCTTACATTCTGTAATTTTTCTCAGGAAGTAATTTTTGCCAAAGCAAAAATTTTGATTTTCTTTTTCTCCTGAAATAACTTCTGGTAAATATTTTGGACTTTGGTTAAACTTAGGTTATACCTACATTTTCATCAAGAATTTGCATGTGGTTATGAAACACTGTTGTGGAAAAAAATGTTTTCAAAGAAGAAAAGCACCATTTGGTTTAAAACTATGCTGTGGGTTTTGAACAGGTAACCTCACCAATGGGAGGCTTCACTGGCTGTGAGCTCATTCACCTTATGGTCACATGAATAGCAGGTGAAAGAATAAAAGTATCTGTAAGTCGCTAGGTTTATAAGTCCAAGTGTAAAGAGCTAATAACCACGAGTCTGGGGAGTAAAGGTCGGAGAATCAAATGTGTTTGTGCATGTGTGTGTGTGTGTTGAGGGTGGTCTCTGCTATGGAGGTTTGAATACTGAGTTTTCTGGGTGATTTGGTGACAAGGTTCTGAATCTGTCTTGGATGATGATTGCAGATGAAGTGTTGGGTGTACCTGTTTCTCCTTCCCACCCTGGCAAGAGCCCCCCCCAGAGAAGGCAGAACTCCTTCAATAGTTGGGACCGTGCCCTCAGTCCACCCAGACCTGACTGTTTGCCTGGGGCAGCCCACCTGGACTTTGCTCCCTGTCTGCTGCCTCCCATGAGATCGCAGTGACCCCAAGTGGCATGGGTCCGGGCTCCGTGGGCTCCGAGGGTGCACTGCACCCCTGATCTGGGTCCTCCTGCCCCCTCCAGGGCTGGAGCAGGGTGGGTGAGTATCGCTGGGCCAGCGAGGATGGGGCGGTGGCTACAGGAGATGAGAGTGGCCGATGCCACTCTCTGGGTGGGTGGTCTGGTTTCATGTTTGGAATATGACAGAAGCAGATTGGCAGTGGTCAGGGGAAGCAGGCTGGCAGGACAGTGACATCTTAAACGGACGGTGCCACTTCCTCCTCTCACTAGAACACATCCGCATGGGCTTTTCGTGCTCTGAAGTCCAGGCTTGGGTTGCTGTGTTTGTTTGGAGAATTCTGTGTCCTTGTGTCACCTTCAGGAACCCCTGAGGCCATCCCTAGTGGTTGTTCCTTTGCTTTCACTGTCACTGGTGTCCCTTTGGAATGCGCTTGTAGCACAGCTGGGGTCCTGGATGCTGCCAGTGGCAGGGCAGGGGGTGGGAGGGGTGCCTGGGTGGCCCGTGATGCGGACTGGGCAGCCAGGGTGCTGAGAAAGCAGGCTCTGGGGAGATGCTGCTGCTGAGATGTGGGTGCTTCTGCAAGGAGGAGCTGGCATGGAGTGGAGCTGGGCTTGGGGGGCTGCTCCAGCGACCGGGGCTGAGGGAATGGGTGGCGGGGGCACAGTGGGGGGCCTGCCTGGGGGCTGCAGGGCAGGTACCCACTGGAAGGTGTGAGAAGGGCAGCCCTTTGTCACCCCCCTGGTCTCCAACTCTGCTTGTCAGGGACTCTGGGTAGCTGCTGACGAGTCTACCCCAGGGTCCAAGCCCTGAGGCTCCAGAGTCCTGTGCTTGTGAGCTCAGATTCTCTCCTTCCACTTAGCTTTTCAAGATGCAGGTTTCAGCTCACAGTTGATTGCCCCTGGCAGTGGGAATCAGGGAGTTGGGATTCCGCTTTCCTGCAATCACATCCTCTCTGCTATCTTTCAAGAGGCTGAGAGCCAAGAAAGCTCCAGGTTTTTTTGTTTTTGTTTTTGTTTTTTTTAAAGCTTCCTTCTGTCAAGACTGAAAGTTCAGCTAATTAAATTGGATGGTCACACAGCACATTTCCAGCTGGCCAGGGAGGGAGGGAGAGATGATCTCCTCCCCCGACACACCCCCCGCCATCCTCCTGAGGGCTCACTCCCCACCCCCAGGGACACACAAACACAGCCTCACACAGTAGCTTTGCAAAGTGGAATCAGAAGCAATATGATATGTAGTTAAAGAGGGACGGAGAAGAGGAGGGAAAGGGCATTGGGGGAGGGAGGGAGCAGAGATGGAGGCTTTGTGGAGGAGCGAGAACGTGTCAGTGGATGTGCTGCTAAGAGGGGGAAGCAATAAAATTCAGAACTGTCTTGTCTAATGCACACACCTGAGTGACACACTTGGATCCCTGACCCCGAGACTCCTGACCGCCCACCGTGGAGGCCTGTAGCTTAGCTCAGTCAGGGGGTACCAGCCCCACCCAGGCTGTGCATGGTGGGAAGCCCAGCCTGTCTGCTAATCTGCTGTAGATCTTGGTGCCGAACTCTTCTCTTACTCTGCTTGGCCAAGCCCTACCCGGTTCCCCCTCTTCTAGCCTCTTCCGTAATCTCTTCCACACGCTCCCCTCTTTCTAGGATTAGCACGTCCTGCCCCTGAACCCTAGTCTCCCCGGTGCTAAGACTCCCTCCAGCCACCCCCA